GCTCGGGGCGAGTGTTCTCGGTGGGGTGGCTCCTCCAGCCTCCCTCCGTCTCCGCGCCAGGGCTGCTAGGAGCAAAAAAGTCAAACGCTGCTGCATGAAAATACTGTGTCAACAAAGGGAGGGACCATGTGTGCACGCCGAGTATAAAACAGTAAATTGACACAGTGACTGTGGAGATTTACAAGCAGGAAACTGCATCTCTGAATCTTCCCTTGGTGAGGGTCTCCCTAGCAACAACAGATCAAATTTTCGTTTTATTTTTGTACTGATGTTACCTTTAAACTGTCACGATTAAATATGTTCAGGGCCTTTGAAAGCATTTTGCCCTTATTTGCAGAGTTTTGAACCTGTACAGGGTATGGTTTCAATTCTGAACATGAGGTTACTCACAAAAATGTCTCATTAATGTGTTATGGGTTTCCAGCAGTAGTAGCAGTAAATTGTCCATGCAGATAGTTAGAATTGACCCTTTTATTGGTAATTCAACAGCCTCAGGGTTAAATACAGGGATAATGTTATAAAGGAAGGAGGTCAGAGTCACCTTGTATCGTGACATTTGGCTTTGGGAGTTTCAGAAGAGTTTTTAGGGACAACCCCCCTACATTAGATATACTTTTGTAAAAGTAGTGTTTTAGGCTCTGGATCACATTAACATCTGAAATCTACATTCTGTTGTTTTTGCAAAAGAAATATTTCATTTTCACAAAAGAGCTACATGAGCCCGTTACTAATTGTACCTTAATTTTAAGGAAAATTGGATGGCTGAGTAATAACCAGTTGTTCAGAAGATTAACAAACGTGTCTGAGGATTACAACATGTCTAGAGAAATGCAAGAGCTCCAGAAGCAATGGCACTCCATGGTGCAGTCCATCCACAGCAACTCAAACGTGGGTCTGGGTTATAATTTTATATAATATATTTATAAAGATACTCCTTTTAGAACTCTCAGAATATCACACCTCAATTTATTTAAATGCAATTTCAAAACTTTTTTTTTTAATATAAAATTGGCACTCCCTTTTTTAAATGAACACTGGGGAGCCTATGGGAAGAACTGTCTTCCCACACCTTCAGTCATCAAGTGAAGCCTGTTCTGCAGTTCTGTGTTTACTATATAAGCATTTTAGATAGTAGAGTGGCATTTTAGTGAAATGGTTGTGCTATAAAAAGAACTAAAACTACAATACATATTTCCTTAAGGTAAGGGAAATTTCTCCATTACAGTAAAATTCCAGTGTATAGGTATGACTGCTGCTGTAAAATGGATTTTTTTTTTTCTGCCAGTAACATTGTAATTAAATTCATAACAACATGTCTGCACTGGACTGACACTCAGTAAATGAGCAGGTTGCAGATATTACTGAGGCATGGAAAAAAGAAAAATCATCATAATTTTTAAATACTACAGTATTTTTTATTAACAAATGCAGTTTTATAGATCAAAATCGTAGGTGTTGAGACCCCACTGAAATCTGTACAGCTAAACTGTGATTTGTTTTTTTTACTTGTTTTCAGGGTTTATTTTAGATTGGTGGGTTTTTTTTAATTTGTACAAGAATGGAACTGGGAAGTCCAAGAGAAACATGCCTGTTGTTGGTAGAATTTTATTTGCTGTGCAGTTATCTAAATTTGCAGTAAGTCCTGATGCTTTTGAAATATAGGGGCAATAGTTGCCCTCTGTTCAAGCTGCAGACTTGACCTGTTTTTCTTTCATCCACAGGTTGTTGCATTTATGAATTCTCGTCTTGGCCAATATTTAGATGACCATCCTTTTGTTGCCTTATCACTCCTGGTGTTTATTGCAGTATCTGCTATTCCTGTTGCATTTTTCCTGATTTTTGTTGTTACAACAGCCATAATGGCCTGTGTTGGTGTGATAGTTATGGAAGGTATGGTATGCACGCATGCACTTACTCCCTTTTAAGGCATGACATCTTTTGCTTTTTATCTTCTTCCTTCTGGAATTTCCAGTTCTAGCAATTGAGGATTTCTGTTTGTAGTCCTCAGGTCTCAGTAGTAGTGAAACTCTTAATACTAGACTAGTAATCTGATTAACTGTACTCTGTACAAGGGAAGACCCATTTCCCTTTCTAATCTTGGCCACCAGGATATGGCTAAACCAGTTATCTTGACCACAGGTAGCTTTTATAGCAGCTAGCTAGTTGATGGCAGACTCTTTGCCCAAATGGTTTGAATTTGGGGTTGTGGTAGAATGTCAGCTCTTCTAATTTTCTTCTATATAAACTTGTTTAAATAACAAACTGATTTTCTTCCATTAGGTGTTGTAATAGCTGCAGCTGGCATAGCCCTCCTTTGTGTGCTGTGTGGCCTGGGTGCGCTTTCACTGGGAGTTTCTGGAGTACTGAGTGTTTGTTACGTTGTTCTTTCAACTCTGGTCAACTACTGGTATGCTTCCAGGTAAGTATTGATGTCTTGACCCGTGCTTGGATTTCAAAGTCTTCAACTGTACTACTCCATTGCTCACTTCACTTATTCTAAGTGAGCCACTGTTGCTTAGTTTAACAACTGTTTCTTGAATGCTAGAGTGTCTTTGGCTACCTTGGTGGACAAACATGCCCCATATAAACATCTAGTCATCAATATATATTTTAATGAGAGTTAATATATTTTCCTACATAGGAAAGAGGACATTTAAATACTCTTTAATGTGCATGTGCTTACACAACATGACATCAAGCAATAAAATACAACTTTGTCTCACTCAGAATATTTGCTGTTTTAAATGTCATTAAAACACACTTCCAAATTGAACTTGGCCTAGAGGAGGCACCTTTTGCAGTTCTTTCTGCATGATGACCCAGCGGTCTCTGCTTACCTGTATTTGTGGATTAATGGACCAAAATTAGTTGTAGGTTTGGGGTAGGCAGAGGGGTATTTAAAAGGGACAGTGTGGCCAAAACAGAAATGACAGGTTTTGCTGGCTGCAGCACATGTGCTGCTTGCCAGTGATGTCTCCCAGTATTTCAGTCAGCGTTGCCTTAGCCATGCTTTTACCGAGCATCTGGCTAGGGGAGGAGGCAGTAGCAGGTTGTGCTGGAGTGCCACCTATTGCCCGCTTAAATATCTGTCAGGGAATGAATACTGATAATCACTTCTTGAGCATAGGGAAGAGCAAGAAGAGAAATTACAGCTGCTCCATCCTAGACTTTCTGTTTGCTTCTTGCACAGCTCTCAAGGGCACACAAAACTGCCTGTGGAGCCCGTGATAACAGTAATCTTACAGAACAGACTGTAAAACCATTATTTTCTCCTATGTACAGGAGTCAGATAAGGAAGCAAGAAGTTAATGGAAGTTTGCCAGAGAAGAGTCCTGTCTTGGATCTTTCTGCCAATAACGGAAAGAATGAATAAGTGGGTTTCTCCCCTTTCATGGGCACTTAGCTCTACTACTCTGACCTTTGCAATGTAATTCGTTGAGCTTTCAACCTTTGTGCACTCCTTAGTAAGCAGCAGTGCATTGTGATATTAAGTCTATGCGCATTATGGAATGTTCCACAGAATTTGGTAAATGGGGAATGTAATAATTACAGATACTGTTAAGTCAGTGACAATTAAGGGAAAGAAAGAGTAGACAGGTATTTGACTTTTTGTTACTGGAGTTCTGGGTGTAGTATCTTTTGAAATTTGTATGCAGCAGTTGGTCATTTTGATACATAAGTGTCAAAGCTTAGAACACCAGAAATGTGTTTTGAATGTTAAAAAATATTTTTAAGCCTTAACAGCCTTTGTTAAAATAGTATGAGCACACCATGCTAATGTTTTCTATTCTTTATAAGAGGAAAATTGGGTTTTGCTATATGTTAAGTTATGGTATAAGCTTTTATGTACCTTTTGGTGTTGCATTATTCTGAGGGATATTTTCCTCATTCTCATTGTCTCGTCATATCAATGGAATGCAATTAGGTCTTGCCTCTTGTCATATTTTTTTAGGTATTTAAATTGCCTGCTTTGTTTCTCAGTTTTAACTGCTTGTATGTTATTTATTTTTTTTCATTTTTGCAAATATATTTCTTAAATATCAAGAAAGTATCTAACTATATTAGTTTAATAAAGTGCTGTTTGTTTACCCAGGCTGTCTTGTTATTCCGTTTATTCTACAGTAAAACCAAGTCTTCCAGATCTACTTCTAGGAAGGCTACATTTGGAGCTGAATTTTTCTCCTCAGTTAAAGTATTTTGTCTGGCCAATATTGCCACAAACCGCAGATGGCTTGTATTACATGAGATTACCCCGCCTTCTCATGCCTGTAAAGGAAATGCAGAATCCCAAGGACTAAATTAGTGTATACTTCAGTTTTGCATCAACCAACATGCTGTTTGGCTCCAGCACAGAGTGAAAATTTACCTGAGTCATAATGTGTCCCACATAGTATTGGTGGTGACAAACTCAGCTGTAGTGATAAGCTGGCCCTGCACTTCAGCAGCAGAGTGAAACCATCCTTACCCTCACCCTGTGTTGCTGTCCATAAAGGGCTTTAGTGTTTACTAAATTCCAGTTAAATTTGAAGGAGTTACAGAATGGAGACCATAACAGGGGATTTCTTTCATAATTTAATGAGTAGATAAAGCATTTGGTTTTTTTCAGGTGTTTCACAGCTTTATCCCAACCATTTTTTTTTTAACTTCCAGTTGATAGTAATATACAAGTAGTAGGAGAAAAAAAATAAACAAGCCAAACCCAGGAAAAGTACTTTCTCTACTTTCCTTGTAAGAAAAACTAGTGATGTGACATTGTTTACATTACATACAGCATGGAAAAATCCGTGTAAAAGATGGAACAAAGATTTACCATGAATATATGTACCTTTTTTTTCTTTTACATGGCTGTTATCCCAACTTTAGGATCAAATCTGCAGCTGTGGTCAGTTACAGTAGAGCTCTGCCATTTTCCTGCAGGGGAGGATCAGTGGGGATTAAAAAACAGAATGCTGTTCTTAACAGTGGTGTGGTGCTGCCCAGTGATGCACATCACAGCTGTAGGTAATACAACCTAAAAGCAAATTCCCCAGTGCATTCACTGAACTGCAGAAAAACTGAAGAACACTGGTGTTTGCAAATGAAGAGACTCCAACGAGGTAGCATGCTGGGGGCATTGGGGTGAAGGAGGCATTTTGCACCAGTAGGCAAATGGAATATATTATCCCTTGTGCAAATGGACTGGGGTGTGCTTTTAAGAGCTATGAAGTACTGAAATAACTCTTCCTAAGTGCTAGAAATCCTGGCTAGCAAAAAGTAAGCCTTGAAATGGCATCCTGGCCATTACAGAATCCTTCCTGCCTTTCACCAGACTGCTAGCTCCCATCATCAGGATACAGTTTGAGTTTAAAGTTACTTCCCAAATCTTACTCTTTCTTTTCTAATGCCTTCAATCTAGGAGTTTACTGGCTGCTAAGAGGGAAATAATGGTTATGAGGGAAGTAAGGCAGAGATCAGTGTGACTTGATCATAACACAGTCACCACCTCATTTATTTTATGTTTCCAGTGTTTTGCCTGTTTTACATACCAAACTGCAGTAATTTCAAACACACCTTGAAAATAAATCCCTTATTTATCTCCTATTCTCTTCTATCAGTCTGCCTAAAATGAAACATATATAGCTCTTTATTACTGTGCTTGAGACCTCAAAATGAATTGAAAAGGAGAAAGCACTTCACAGGAGGGAAGTAATGATACTGTTTATCATCTGTGCTGCAGCTTATCCCAGGCATAGCCAGACATTACCAGATTTTCACATACTTAATCACACAGCTTGTGCCTTTCCACTTTAGGATGATCTTACTTCAGAATCTAAAGAGATTAACCCCAATCTATGCTTAGCAAATCTTGCTGCAAACTTGACTTTAGGTTAAGATGATTCTTTGCAGAATAGTATTGAGAGATTTATACTCATTTAGACCATAAAAGCAAAATGTGCTCTTGAGTGCTGGCTACCCATCCTTTTATTTTGTGGATTTTATTCACTTCCAGGCTCCAATTTACCTCCCCAGAGCACAAGTTCATTGTTTAGTCCATCAGTGGATCCTGATTCGCTGCCTTCAGCACTAAAACTAAGATGTGCTGTCCCTGCAAGAGTATTTCCAACACCACTGCCAGCCTGGTGACAGGCTCTGCCTCAGTACATCTTGGTGTCACTTTTGCCTGGTGGCGATACAGGGAGGGGAGGAGCTGCTTCTTCACCTGCGTGAACAGCCTCTGCTGATGCTTAAAGCACTGGCTTTCTGAGCAGCCCCACAGACCTCCAAGGAATCAGCAACCTTTATTCATTCAACATTAAACACTAACATTGTCAAGCTGTTGATGGGGACCAATTTTTCCTGAAGGATGGATTTTAAAACAAATCACACTGAGAGCTTGAACAGCTGCATCCCTGACAGCTCTAAGGCTGTTCGAAACTTTTCTCTGCCTGGTAAGTGCAATAAACAGGTAAGTGAAAATATACATTAGTATATAAACTGTAATAGGTGTAGGCAGGAGGGAAGAAAAAAAATCTCTTATGTGAGATAGTTTTGAAGAAAGCCTGAATATGAATATTAATATCCACACAGTTGAGCAGCATATGTATCAGAAATATGAATATATCTATTGAAACATATATTCATTATATATCTATGCATTTGAAAGAGTCTCCATGCACATATATGGGATGATATACACACTGGTGCTCTTTCATTCTATTGTTAATGTGTTTGTGTTCATGCATATGAAGGGAAGAGTGGCACATTTAATTAGACACGTTTTAACGTATACATGTGTGAAAGTTGCTGAGAAAGTGCCCGTGTGCTGTTAGACACAGCCACACACAAAAAGCCCTTCCTCACCTTACATACACCTAAGAAATCCACTATTGCTTACATTCAGAACATTCATTGTTAGAAGCCAGAATATCCACAAGGCATGTCCTCACCAGTTGTCCTAGCACAGCTGACTTTTTCCTGCCTACGCTTGTCTCTGCAGGTGACCCCAGCAGGATGAGCTATGGCAGCTTCATCATGCCCACTCTGTTTGGCATTATCTGCCTCTTGGGCATTATTGGTAACAGCCTGGTTATCTACACAGTCTTAAAGAAATCTAGCCCTAGCAGTAGTGTCCCAGATATCTTCATCATCAGCCTCTCCATGGTGGACCTGCTCTTCCTCCTAGGCATGCCTTTCCTCATCCACCAGCTGCTGGGGAATGGAGCCTGGCACTTTGGGGAGACAATGTGCACAATCATCACTGCCCTGGATGCCAACAGCCAGTTCACCAGCACCTACATCCTCACCGCTATGTCCATCGACCGCTACCTGGCCACCGTCTACCCCTTCACCTCCACTCGCTTCAGGAAGCGCCCTGTGGCAATCCTTGTCATCTGTGTGCTCTGGGCCCTTTCCTTCCTCAGCATTACACCTGTGTGGATGTATGCTCAGCTCATCCCTTTGCCTGGAGGTCTGCTAGGATGTGGGATTTGTCTGCCAGACCCACAGAGGGACATTTATTGGTACACTCTCTACCAATTCTTCCTGGTCTTTGCCATCCCTTTTGCCCTCATCACGGTGGCCTACAGGAGGATCCTGCTCAAGATGGCCAGGTCCTCAGAAGCGCTGATGAGCCAAAGATGCACCAGGGCACGAACAAAAAAACTGACCCGTACAGCAATTGCCATTTGCGTGGCCTTCTTCGTTTGCTGGGCACCTTTCCACATCCTGCAACTGGCCCAGCTCGCCATGACTCGCCCCACTCTGCCTTTTTACTATGCCTACAACGTGGCTATCAGCCTAGGTTATGCCAACAGTTGTCTGAACCCCTTCATCTACATCTTGCTGGGCCAAAATTTCCGGAGGCAGCTTGTGGTCCCTGTAAGGCCAGCAGCTGTAGGGCAGGCTTCCCCACATGGCAGCAAAAACACTCGAGGGGATGCAATTGAGTCAGGGCAGCCACTGCTGCATTTGGTGTCCGTCTCTGGCAGGTAGCAAGACTGGCAGCAATTGGGGTATGTCCCACATGCAGAGACTCTCCTATCCCAAGTGAACACACAGGCAGCAGCAGACAGGTGAGCACCATGCACCACATCTCCTGTGGGATGGGTCTTTACCTGGCCTGGAGACAAAGTAGCAGCAGCATTTAGGCAGAAGCTTTGTTTCACCTTGTATTCTTATTTACATCTTCCCTGACAGCTATAAATTATATTCTTCCCGGGAGATGAAAAGCTTTCAGACATTGTATTAGACTAACCCACATACTAAAAATATTTTGGTGCAAAACCCCAGACAAGCAGCAACCCCCAGTCCAGATCTGAGACACTGCCACCATTTGACACTTGGGGAGTTTCAGATGTATTTCTTGCCCTAAGCTTTAAGGAGGCAAGAAGGAATCTGGACTATTCTGGATCATTTTTTTTATCCCCAAAACATGATTCAAGACCATAACACACTTCATGAAGATTTTAAACAAGAAGACAACCGTGTTTCCATCTCCTTTCTAACACACCAGCTCCATGACATCCTTAAGAATGAGACATCAATCATTTTCTGTCACTTTTAGACCAGCAAAACTACCCATTTTCCAGAACCAGCAGGTGTCAAGAAGTCCAATAAATATTCTCAAAGATATTTAAAAGTAACCAGATTGATTTATTCACAATCACTCTGAGAGACTGTTCTGTACCATCTTGTTAGGGGCCAACAGCAACACCAGTTAAACAGTAGTTGTTGCTAAGTCACCAAGTTGCTTTGCAGTGGAAAATAACTACTAGATTCTATCTTAAAAAAAGAAAACAGAATAGTTTCTTACTGTTGGTGGTGCATCATGTACACACATATATAACGCTGTAGTACTTCCTCAGCTAACAGCAAGCCATTGATAAATACACATCTTGAAGCATATTGCTGAGGTTTTCAGCATGGTTGTAGGTGGGTCAGTTTTCTTGTGCCCATCTTGATCAATTTTGAAAGGAGTTAACAGTAAAAACCTCAGAGCAGCCATTCTTTGACCATCAAATCACTTTGCTGCACACAGCAACCAAAAATCACTGGGCTTTAGTTTTAAAATAGCATTATTCTACTAATATCAGGAACCTCCACCCAGAAAAATGGGCAAAAGCAAAGGTTCCACACAATTCCATTTTAAAGGAATATTTGCATCTTTATGGTAGATCAGTTAAAGCTGCTTAAAAAGTGCTATTACATTTCACAAGATCATAAAGACCAGATCAAATTCTTTATCAGGAATACCCAGTTGCTAAAACATAAAACCTACTTTAATTTTAATAACTTAAAAGTTAAAAATATCATCGCTACCTTGATTTATTCCTGCTCCTATAAAGTAATCAAATATTAAGACTGCAAATGAAATGTAACCATGATTATTTATATGCAATCTGCAACCTAGAGGATGCTTATCTCCAACTCTATTTTAGTAGCATGTTAATTCAGCAAACAACAATTACAAAACCACATAGCCAGCAATCCCCGAGGCAAGGCTGTCTCCAATAGCTTCAGGAGACACTTCTAAAGACAGAGCAATAAAACTCTTGCATCTATCACAAGTAACAACACTCAAAGCTTTAGGCCACAGCTCACATGCAGAAACACGGCTGAAGGGAGCAAATCCTTTCCCCTGGATTTTGTTTATAACCTCACCTTTAGCCGAAGGGAGCAAGCATTGCTTAATGGACTCAGCAGACACTGAAGCAAGTGAATTTATTACAGCTCAGACTCTGTCCTCACAGGAGCCACTTCCTTCTGCATTTTAAATTGATTTTTCATTACATAATTCATTCTGTCATCAGCACTTATCAAGGAGCTAAAGCTGTGAATTCTCAGCTACCAGCAGGCAAACTGGAGCAGTTTCACTCCTGCTGCCCTGACCTTTGCATGTTTATCAGTCACTGTCATTTTAAAGCTGCTCACCACATCCCTTTAATAAGAGCTGCTTTGAGTGCTGTGCCATCACCACAGTAGCATGGTTTTTGATGGGGACTTGCTGAAGAAGTAAAACTAGGTCAGCATAGACCAGGAGTTTTTACTGGAGACAGTAAAGTCACCCCTCAAATGAGAGTGTAGGTTGTTTTGGCTTTGCTTTTAAGAGCTGTTTTGTTTGTTTGTTTTAAAATTATTAAACACTGCAGTAGAACTAAGAAGTCCTTTGCAAGCCAGGCTGGGGAGATGGTGCTGAGGCCCTATTTTCTTAGCTGCTCTCTTGGCTTCCTACAGAAAAGCACCAGCCCAGCAGGGAAATGGCAGGAGCCTTTCCCACCCTGGTGGCACTATTCCCAATTGGGTCCACAGCCCAGGGACCTAATTCACTGGTCCTTACTTCAGACTTAAACATGCCTCAATGGGCAACACACTTGTGGTTCTAATCCCTACATCCTGGGGGACCCTAAGCATCCTAAGTCTAAGGAGATTTGGAGCAACCAACTTGGCTACGGTTCCTGAAGCAGCTGCTTGATCTCAAGCTGCAGAGACCCCAGTGCTGATTCCACATGCAACAGGTTCACAGACTCTTCTCTTATGCCTCCTCTTTCTACACCATCATTCACACTTTGTGGCAGAAGAGGGATACATCAGACCTGAATGCAGTAAAATAATCTTTTTTATTTGTAAAACAAGCTTAAAAATTCCACAGTTAACAGACTTCAAGAGAGGACTGAGAGACATCAGCACTCATACAGTAAGAGGGAAGGAGTGGATGTGGCTGGGCTCCAAGGCAAATTATTTACAAAGTAAGGGGGGAAAATCTTATGTCTTCTTTGATTTAAAGAGATTACACAAGTCTTCATTGAAATTCCCCTACAGTGTCCACAAACAGAGCACAACTGAACCACCCCAGGAGAAGTATATAAGCCTCACAGAGACTAGGGACAGATCTCTTGCGTGCCATATCTGACAGTCTTCCCCTGGGCAGACAGTATTAGCCAGGGATGGGAACCAGTCAAGAACAACCTTCCCTTGGACCCGGATGGCTGTTGCTGTGTGCAGCCTCTCTGTCCCACCTCCCCAGCTAGAAGGAATAGTACAGAAGATAGAAGTCAAGAGCAGGAGTAAAGCTCTGACCTATACCCTTACTAAAGATAAGTGAGGTATTTTAGACACCCTCACTAGTGCAAATCTCCAGGTTCATTTATAGGAATGTTGGCTAGCATTTCTCTTTTACAGAGCATTCCCGTGACAGCAAATGTAAAGTTATTTAGTAAATTTTAACTATCCTGGAATAGAGGTTCAAAATCCATCCAGCAATAAGAAACAATTAAGCACTGCTCTACCTGAACACACACCAATCTTCTCCCACACTTGGGAATGAGGAGAAAGATGAAGGGGAGGAAATATTATGAACATCTGCCTTGTTTGGCTCAGAAGGCCTCAAAGCCCCTACTTAAGTACAACATGCTCTCAAGTACATAAACTCTCATCAAGCACCACTTATCTAGGTTTTGCAGAAATACTTCATAGTCCATCCAAGTGCTAAGTCAACAGAACTTAGTATAGTAGTTGGTTTGCTGGACAATAGCCTAAGTAAGTATTTCAACTCTAACCCCATCAAGCTGAAAGTAGATTGTAAGAGTGACTTGCAAATAAATGGCTCCAATGTGAAATTTGTAATTTCATTCTATTTCTATTGACACTGTAACTGTGATTAAACGGCAGCATAAATCCTTCCTAATTATCATGTTCTCTGTACTCCATGCTCTCTTTGCCTGGAATTTACATTAATATTTAGAAAATGTATCCTGAAATATGTTGTATTATAAATAGCTCATTAATAATGTTTATGAAGTGAAGTAGAGACTGTGGCAGATGAGCCCCCAGCCCTATGCTATTATGTACATAGTGTTTGACAATTAACATTAGCAGTCTGTCCACTGACTCGGTCTGAAGCTCCGCATGCCCAGAGAACAGAGCATGACTTGTGATGATCACTCGCCCTGTTTACAGAAAGTTGTCATACAGTGTTTCATCAAAGGCTGTCACACTCCTAGTGTAACAGAGCACTTCCATCCTTTTGCATTGTCACATGCAATTGTATTTTTACGCCTCATTTCCTTGACTGTATAAGGCAATCTGTACAGAATGCAAAATAAAAAGCACAAATGTACAACTGAAACGGCCTCACTTTGAATGGATTTGTTACAACTACAGATATTGCTGCCCTCATGTATACTGAAAGCTGCAAAGAACAACTGCAGTAATGTTTTAAAGACATGTATATCAAACCTGGAGTTTGACTTTTTGGTAGGAAAGATTAATAGCGCAAATAATATCAAAACTTGACACAGGAAGTCTCTATAGTCTCTTCAAGCATACTAATAAATTTGAAAAGTTCTACAAGGAAGATTAGGAAGAGCTGGATGTAAAGAAAGCTTACTAGAACACTAACAAATGATGTATTGCTACACACTTTCTTTATAATTTAAGTGCCTCTTAGGCAGGGGGAGAGTAAAAATAACAGGTAGGAGTAACTTCTCTTCCAAGCATCAACACAACTATGTGTTGTCTAACTTCAATGCATGTTAGAGACAAGACAGCTTTATCTGTTACTCGCAACCCTTTTCCCTTCAAGAAACACCTTGTTTCTCCCCTCAGTTTTCAGAGACTATGAAATTATATATTCCTGGTGCCCCTATTGAATGGCCACAGAACTTCTGTCCACCAGAAGCTCTGGCATTAGGAAGAAGTCCATTCCACTCGGAGTTTTCTTAATATCCTTTGAGCCTGCTGTGTTCAGAAAAGGCAGGCTCCAGCTTCTCTGCAAGTGCTCCTCCAAGGACCTTTTGTAATTATCCAAGTCACATAGTAAGAAGGAAGAAGGTTGTGGGTGGGTTTTTTGTTGTTGTGGTTTCTTTTTTTTACTGTAATTTTTTAAAAAAAATGCTGTGTGTTGCTAACAGATTTAACTAAAAAAGTTTTACTCCTCAGCTGCAGCACAGAGCTCACATTTACAAGAAAAGATGGAATAATAGCTGCACGTACTA